AGCTGGTTTGGATCCAACCTTGTGAGCTGAGGAGCCTCATGTCCTCTAGTCTTTGGAGACAGAGCGCTTCTATCTCGCTGCAAATCAACATCTCAACTCCATCTATGCTGCTGCATATGGAGATCTGGTTCCAGATGGAATCTTGGGGAATAAGGAGGCATCCCTGCTCGGTAAAACATCTCTCTTGGACTTCTTTCAGGTTGAGTCAGATGAGCTGATCTTGGATCGCCTACCATCTCAACCCTAGAGGGATTCACTATCCGGGATACAGGTGGAGGAGGTTGGCTCATCTGTCCTAAGGTAGCATTCATCTCCTTCAAGAAACTCTTCATCCCCTCTCTGGTCTTCTTAGCCTCCTCTTGACCTTGATTCACCACATTCGCCAGTTTACCCAGTTCGACATGGAGGCTGCCCATCTCTTCCCATAGGTTCCTCTGCATATTAGAAAGATGTGCTATCTCCTCATGAAGGTGGTTCATCTCTTCATGAATCGTCACTTGCCCTTCACATTGTCTGTCTAGGAAGCAATCTCGCATCTTTAGCACATCTACTCTCAAAGTTCCCAAACTCCCTTCTAAAGACATCAGCCTGGACTTGGTGGAGTCGAATTCTCTCTTCCTCCGAGCCCAATGGTCTCCTCTCACAGCGGGAGCTGGAACGTCTCGTCTAAGCCTGGATTCAGCATGGTATCCAGTATCTTCCTTCTCTACATCAGGAAGTATCTGCATCGTCATATCTGGGGAAATAACTCTGGGCTCTCCTCGGACTAGAGTCGCTCTGGCTCTTCCATCTAAGTCGTCTGGTAGAGTGTCATCTACTCTCACAAGTGGAACACCGAGACTCTCCTCCTCGCTTGGGAGCAATTTCCCCTCATCTCTTGGGAGCGATCTTCCCTCCGAACCAGACTGCTCTTCTGGACTTCTATCCCTTGGAGGAGTCTCCCACTGCTTCAAACCAATCTTTGGAACCAATCGCACGATTCCGCCAGTTCTCACATCATCTCGTCTGGAGTACTCTTGCTCCATCTTCTCTGACGAACGCTCGCACTTCTGTGACATCTCAGACATCTTCTAAGGCAACAGATCCCACCGCTGCCACCAATGTCGCGCCTGGGCCGTCTCACCGAGCACCCTGTATACTGGGGAAAGGCCTGGGACGACGAAAAGGGATCTTTGGAGGTGTTTCAAGGGTGTCGACCTGGTTTGGTGGTACGACAGTTACCAATAGAAGATGGCTCCACAAAACAATTATGTACAGGGTTTTTATAATCTATTCTAACATAAGTTTTTACAATATAATAACAAAATGTCCATATAATATACAAGTTTCTCTTCAAGAGTCGTCTCTGCTCTGGAGCTTGTTTAGCACTAAGAGTCACTGCGTCTCTCTATGTTCTCCTCTTGTAGTTTGTTCAGCTCTAGGAGTCACTACGTCTCTTAATCTTCTGTATGGAGTTTGTTCAGCTTAAGGAGCAACCTCAGCTCCGGGAGTCACTTCGTCTCTGGGGAAACCACGCAAACTCTCTCTCTTGGAAGAGTACCAGCCTCTAGAGCACTCTCTGTTTGGGAGTCGCCACTTCTCGATAAAAACCTCTGCTCTTGAACGATTCACACGCTCGGAGTATCTCAGCTCGGAGTCGTCTCGTCTCGAGAAATCAACGCAAACTCTGTGTCTCTTGGAGCACCTCAGTTCCGGTAGTGTAACTATGGCTCCAATCACAACTCTGTCTCTTGGAAGGGGTCCAGGCTCTGGAGCAACCTCTGCTCGGGAGTCGCCACTTCTCGGGAAAACCTCTGCTCTTGAACGAGATTCACACGCTCGGAGTATCTTCAACTCGGAGTCCTCTCGTCTTAAGCGAAACCAAATAAACTCTGTCTCTGGAAGGGGTCCAGGCTCTGGAGCACTCTGCTCGGGAGTCGCCACTTCACAGGAGAAACCTCGTCACCCTCTACAGAGAAATAACACCTCTGGAATGTCAATCAGATGGTGAGATTAGACCAGAGCTGCTACTTCTCGATCTCGGAGTACCTTAGTTCCGGTGGAGTAACCTCGGCTCCAATGGAATAAACCTTGCAACATAGAAATACCTTGGTTCCAGTAGTGTAACCTCAGTATCTAACTTCTGGAGGAGTCAAATCACCTCGGAGGGTACATCAAGTTCAGCAACTTGTATCAATTTCGGATCATCAATAACTCGGAGGAGGAGAAGAAGCAACTCACGAATATCGATCATTAAACTGAGATTAGACGGAGTTGTATTCTCAACCCTCGGAGCAGATTCCACTCTAGAATAGATGGAGGAGTAAGCACTCGGAGCAGTGAGTCCTCAGAGTAGGTATGGCTCTCAACTAGATGGAGGAGTAATCACTCGGAGCTGGCAATCCTCGGAGTAGGTATGGCTCTCAACTAGATGGAGGAGTAATCACTCGGAGCTGGCAATCCTCGGAGTAGATACAACTCTCGAATATCAATCACAACGGAGATTAGACAGAGCTGTAACTACTCGGACCAAATATAGCTCAGAGGAGATATAACACTTAAATAATTGGAGGAGTAATGACTCGGAGCAGTGAGTCCTCGGAGCAGATATGACTCTTGAATATCAATCAAACTGAGATTAGACAAGAGCCATAATTACTCGGAGCTGGCGATCCTCGGAGCAAATGGAGGAGTAATGACTCGGAGCAGTGACCTCTCGGAGCAGACGCGACTCTCGAATATCAATCAAACTGAGATTAGACAAGAGTTGTAACTACTCAGAGAAGGAATCACTCCTTAAAATGGCGTCACTTCCGTAAAAAATAAAGATGGCCGACCGCAGGGAACTCTGGGAAGAAGAAATCAAAATGGCGGACGGCAATATGGCGTCAAACTCAATAATCAAATTGTCACTCACCAAAGAACTATCTATTGTCTTGTCTTTTCCTCAATTGTCGCAACGCACGCAATTTACATCAAGCAATAGCAGCAAATAGTCAAATAATATCCAAATATAATCCACAGTTGAAATCAGCCACGCTCGCACATAAAATGCCCCAAACTGACGAGGTCCTGCTTGTACAAAATCTTGGTAAGCTCTGATTTACAGGTCACTTTCTCACACTAAAATCCAGACACCTCAAGTTGCATCATGGGAAAATACAACATAAGTTGGCGGTAAATTCAAATGAAGCCATCTGATTGGTTGAGCTCTGTTGCTGAGTGCCTAATTATGCAAATTTATTCCAAGGCCGTCGGCTGATTCAGTAAACATCCAAGTGCCTAGATGAGATTCTGTACGTAGACACTTTACAATACAATTCTTTAATTACAGTGGACAGAACATGAAATAAAGATGAAATAACATAAAACCCAGTAAAATAAACGTTTCACAAACCCTAGTACTACTCAGGGGGAATTAAAAATTCCCACAATATTTAAGGCTAGGGCAAATAATATTAACATGTTAAGCATATATTTAACACCATAATAAATAAGGTACATTTTTGAGGTCTTATATTTTTAGTATTGCTTCAAGCCTATGTGCCGCCCCCCCCCCCATTCTCCATCTTATGCGGCTTGGTTTGGTTAAAAGGTTGATTAGATGGTGAAATGGTATAAGCAGTGTTCTTGAGAACAAGAGGTCGTGGGTTCAATTCCAGTTTCCAGCACTTCGAGTTGTTGATTGTACTAATGCACGAAATGTATTTGTATTTACCAATTACAGTAAAACCTGTAAAGTGGAACACCTCTATAAGTGGAACACCTCTATAAGTGGAACACCTGTGTCAGAGCCCTATGACCAATTGACTTTAACCAAATGAACCTCTGTAAGTGGAACGCCCCAAATTGGAACACTTCCTTGAGGTACCAAAAGTCTTCCACTTTCACAGGTTTTACTATTCTATCTCTATAGAGTGCTGCCAGCTTGATAAAAGGAACTGTCGGGAACTGTCGGGAACTGTCGGGAACTGTCTACCGTCTTAAGACACCCGGTTTAGATACCAGTTATTCAACTAGAAAATTGGGAGAACTGTTTTACAATTCCCTTTCATCATTTCATGTCATGTCTCTTTTGCTAAAGGTTTTTAAAGTTTCCTTCAAACAAGTTTAAAGTGGGATGTCACCTGAGCTCGACTTCCAAAGAGATGCATACGCTATATTTCTTTATATCATATTTATCAATTGACATAAGTAACAAAATCTTCAACAGGAGTTATTGAATCTATATGTATGTAAAGTGTACGTAGGAGATAAGTAAAGAATTTTATTTTATTTCACTGATCACCAGGGACATACCTGTACTTTATTCTATCTTTCATTTCAAGAAATGTTTACAAAGAACTTAGGACATCAGTCAGTATCCATATGTCAATACTGATAAATCGTTGTAAGTGTGACAGAAGGTCTAATAAACTATATACACCTACATATAGTGTTAATAGACATTGATGTGGTCTATAGACAATGGTCAACATTTCAAATACATAAAATATGAATTTTTAAATATTTTCATAACCTCCTAATGTGGACACTTTGTCCCAGCAGTGGTCTGTGATCATAGGGAGATTATAAGCTACATGTTTTAGAGAACTTGAGCATGAATGTGTACTATTATGACCCCAGGAGATTATTGTCCTTCTCTCAATTAGTTTATATTATTTCAACAATTTTCCTTATTCCTACACACTCAATCTATGAAGTGAAGGAGAACTAGAGGACCATAATTTTACACATTCAAATACAGGTTCTCTTTTATATAGCCTAACTTTCCCAATATCAAACTGGTTTATTGTTTAAATATATATAGACTTCCTGGTCTATGTGACAAAACTCTAGACCATCCCTGCTAGATCTGTTATACCTGTAAATGTTTACTATGCTGTTATAATATGAAGTGGCCTTAAAGTATTTGATAAATGGTTTAAGTTTAAAATCTTACACGGTCCCAAGAATTGGCAATCTATACAAATGAAACTGAAACTTTTTAAGATGATATGAAAATCTATACTCTTTTCCAGATCTTCTCCCTGGTATTGAGGACTTCATATGCAAGCAGTTGGCCAGTGAGAATCTCTCAGCATTTGCTGAGAAGAAAAGACAGTACTTTGTAGAACGATTGGACATCTTGAAACTTCCCCCTACACTCCCACCCAGGCCACCAGGTGATATACAAGGTAAAGTAGAGAATATACTGAGATAGGGACCCTTGTTTTTGTTAATTTTGCCCCCGTGGCTTTGCTGAGCAAATTTATTAGAAAATATATGCTGGGCATTTAATTTGTGGCAACCCTGTAATATGAAGTCCCTAAAGTCAAGACTTTTATTACAGAAACATCTCTGTAAAGTAAAGCTCCCAAAGTCAAACATCCTTGATATGAAAGGTTCCCAACCCTTGAACATTAATGGTAGAATAAAACAAAACAAAAGTGCAGATATAACCTTTTTTATTACTTCATATTATTGTTACATTCATACATTGTTTCCCTTTCTTCTGAATATTTGCACCAGTTTTCTCGATTTATTAGTTAGAGTGTTTCAAAATGGATAACCAATTACAATATGTTTCTATTGAATGTCACATTTCAACATTCTTCCAATTTTATTCCACAAGGGTGTCACCTTATGGCATTCAAATATCATGTGCTTCATATCGTGCAACTATATTAAACAGTTTTTTGAGACTTTGTTATTCCATTTTGATACAAGAGATCCGCATGCCAATAAGTTGTTTTAGAGTTTAAAATTTAACTCTAAAATATTTGTATAACTCATATTTATTAATTTTTGATCATATGTATTTTTCCACAGATGTTGTTCTATAAAATTAAAACAAGCATGTTTTTTCAAATTTGAGATTTCGTAGAAAAATTTAGCTGTTTTACCATCAAGTTCAACAAAATGGGTTTCTATTAAAAATTGTGTTCCTTATATGGATGAAGGGTAAAATATTTTTATCAATATTTGAACAAAGACTCATAGGTTCTTTTGACTATCAACTATCATCTAGTTCTTTTTTCTTCCGATGCTTGAATCTAAAAGGTTTTAAAAGAGCCATTTGGATTAAAGAAATATCCCAAGTAAACAAAACAAGACTGAATCAAGTGTTTTGTTACATAAGTTTTACATGTGTTAAACAAGCAAAATATTTCCATGTAAAAAGGTGTAAATATGTTCAGATCATTTATTGATTGTTTATCAAAGATGCATTTTATAAATGTTTTTTAAACAGCTATTTTCTTTTTTGTTTATTAGGTGTGATGGAAATAGTCTCCAGGATGTTTTGCTTGTTAATAATCTTTTATTAATCCCTCCAGACTGCAAACTTTGTACTATAAGTTTAACATCTACAACATTTAAATGCCCATCTTCTTATCTTCTATTGCTCCAATAACTGACTTTCTTTTTACTTTTCCTTGCCATTCCATATAAAATCAAAAAACTTGTTTGATAATTGACTCAACAAAGATTTTTTAGCATCAAGTCTAAAGGAGTGGTATCGATATGGTGAACTTTTTGAACACGTGTTTCTCTTAAACCAGTCATCAAAACATTCTGAAAATTTTATACATCGTCAATTTAATGGTCATATTTTGGATGGTAACATTATAATTTGAAATATATATATATACTTTTCTCTATATTGTTTTAGAAAACACATCAGACACTTGTTTTGTTCTTGGTATCATATGTTCGGAATGAAATGAAACATCTATCCGAACCTCAGTGGAACAAAACACAATGTGTTTAGGTCTCTCAATATTGTATTGTACGAAGGAAAGTTTGGTTGATTTTAAAAAAGTATCTTGTTAATGAAATATAATGTTTATCTTAATTTTTATCTATTTTTGGGGTTTTGTTTTAAGTTTTTGCATACTTTTTGTTAAATCGAACAAAATTTCCTTTGTATAACGGTAATATTGAGAAGTCTAAGGAAATTGTTGTATGCTATTTTGTTCCAACAAGGTTCAGAAAGACATTTTATTGCATTCTCAAGAATTGGTAGAAAGGAACAAAAAACAATTGCACTAAATAACAAAAACAAAAACAGTTATATAAAATATATATAAATAATTTTTGCATTAATTTGTTGCCAATCAGTCAACATTACATAAAGGACCGTGTTTTTTACAGAATGTTTTCAATAATTGGTTTAAGAGAAAAACATCCTTTCCATACAAAGAGACATTCCTGATAATTTTAAATCAATCTCAAATTGTTCATCTGGAAATGCGAAGACAAATTTGATAAGGGTGCCCAGGCCCACCTATGCACCCCTCCAGCCAGCAAACTGATCACAATATACCACCCAATTGTGCAATACAATATTACCATATATAGTATTTTGCCTCATGCTGGTTATGCCCTGTTCATAAATTGACATATTGTAATAGTTTTGTGGACAGTGTTTGGTGTTCTGCATCTGTAATAAATGGCAGGTGGTGACATTTTGCATGTTAATGCCTTGTTAATGTTTAGAATAAAAAAGGTTACAGAAAATTGCCAAATAGATGGCTGTGAGGGCCAATACAAGTTTGGCAGCCATTTAATGTTAACCTCTTGACTACCTGGAGTGCGTCACCTCAAAAATGACCCTGAAACCCAGAGTGACGAGAAAATCTGTCTCAAAATTTTTCACTAAAATTGCTCTTATTTTAACAATTTTTATCCAATTTACACAAAAATTGTTTTAAAATGTGTAGAAAGGATCTCTGCCGTCTAATTTTACTAAATTGAGCATCTGAAGTTGTATAGGTATGTAGTTTAATGTCAAAAGGTGTCAAAAATGAAAAAATCTCTGGTTTCAACCGATTTTAGAGCCTGGGATTCAAGAGGTTAAATATTAAATTTTGCACATCGTTGCCGTGAAACCTTACATTTACATGAAGATATGCCATTTTGACTCTGAAATTTTCTGGAATTTATCTTTCAATCTTGTGTGGCCACCCTGATTGTTCTGAAGATTTTGAATTATGGGTCAATATAGTAATTTTTACTGTTATTAGTCTGAAGTACAGTATGTCTATACCAAAATTCATATTTTTCAGATGAGAGAAACAGAAGTCTTGACAGCGCTCGTAATGTAAATGGGGATTTCCTTGCCAAACAGAGAGAGTTTTCACGTAGTCAGAGTTCCCACACATTGCCAGTTGCAAAATCACCAGTAAGTTCTTGTCTTCTTTGAATATGAAAACCATTGTGAATTGTTCATCAAAAATAGCATAATTCCTGCCCCAGATTAATAACTTCAATACCTTTCCAAGGTCATTTCATTCATTCCATATTTACGAGGAAGCAGTCTACACAAATTTCTTGTGCCTTAAAACATATGCAGTTTTTGGCTCACACAATGAGCCTATGGGATCGACCAGGCGTCCATCCGTTGGTCCGTCCATCCGTCAACATTGGCCGTACAAATTAAAACTGTTATTCAGATTGAGTCATATCCACATTCATTTTATGCATATCCATAATGCCTATTTGACCTATCATCGCCATTTCCCAAGTTCGCCCGGTTTCCGAGAAATTGCTGATTTTGACATCAAAAAGTCTAATTTTCTGTAAATACGAGACACTTTTGTTTTGTGATTGACAAGTTTCTCAAAGTTTGTCCCTACACTTGTTCATTACTTGCAATGAATTACATCATTACTAGATTTAAGCATTCCCTACATATTGCTCATATGTCAGCATCAAATTTTTATTGTTTTTGAGATATTTGACATCAAAAACCAGTAAAAATAAGTTATTTTTCAACTTGCGTCAATTTGACCAAATTTTTAGGGAAAATCGTCTACAAGTTGCCAGGAGTTCAAATCTGACCTTAGTTTTGAGATTTGACCTTCAGTGACATTCGAAAGGTCGAAAAAGTTGATCTTTCAAATTGATTATTTGGATGTAAATTTTGGTCACCTTAATCACAAAAGACCTACTGAGCTCTGAATAAGTAAAATGTTCAAGGTCAAAGGTCCTCAAACTAGGTCACAAACTGTGCTATCTAAGTTTCTCAAAGTTCGAGACTACAAATCAAAATCAATAATTTTTTTGAAAATCAGGATATACATTCCTCTGAAGGTTCTACACTGTGTGAGCACAGGACCATGGGTCCTTTATTAAGTTAAGTTCAAGAAAATGAATCAGACACAAATCCTGCTTCGTTTTTTCCAACTTGCAGTTAAATTAAGCATTTCTGTATATCTAAGGGTCTGACTATCTTGTCTCTATTATAGATTAACACTTTCAGAAATATTCTACATTGTGTATATCAAAAATATCAATCAATGGCCATCTTATTAATAATATGATCTTCTTTGTTTCAGTCTCCATTGGAATCTGAGGATTTTTACGATGACGTTGAGCCAGAGGCAGATGTCTTAGCACAGAATGGGTAGAACATTTTCACATTTACTAAAATGTCAATGAGAACAGATATGAAGCAGTTTGTTATTGGTCACTATAAACACGACATGAGATGTGTAGTGTAGTGTAGTGTAGTGTAGTGTAGTTTAGTGTATTTTTTTCTACCACTGTTCAATTCACTAGCATTTTTTTGAGAGCAGTTGAATTTCTCTAAAATAACTTTCCTGAATTACAAGTATTTGATAATATTTTTAATTGTAACCAATATATTTGTAAATAATATGTATTTGTCAGCTACATGCTATCTTACTAAACAGAGACATTTGGTATCAGTTGTACTGTACTCTGCGAAGAGTATACTCACAAACAAAACTTTAGTATTAAGCATTTAAATTTCTCATTCATCTTGCTTTTCATATTATATCCTGTTATCTTAGCATACCTGTGTCTGAAGCAGTTGTTGACAATGAGGAAGATTTGTATGAGGTCCCGTTGTCATTGGATAATCAAGATGGCTACAGTTGCGATGACATGTCAGGTCGGTCTATAGTTGCCAAAATAGCCCCTCCCCTCTTTCTATCTCTTCTAGGTTCTTCCTTTGTTCAGATGCTTTTTTTCTCAAGCAATATTTTCAAATGTATTTAGAAACACCATCATAATCAATGTAAATAAAATGTTATAAAGTAGTAGAATGATATTTGATATGAAAGGTTGTTTACATTCATTGCATGTACATGTATTACCCCAGTAAGTGTACAATATCTAAAAAAATATCTATGCAATTACATGTCACATATATTGTTATGATCACCAACCTTTTTGTGGATGGTGTTTGGCAGTTGGTGATTGGTGTTTGGCAGCTGATGGTTGGTGTTTGGCAGTTAGTGTTCAGTGGTTGGTGTCTGTAACAAATGGGAGGTGGTGACATTGTGCATGTTAAAGCCTTGTTAGAATTTGTAATTGTTTCATTTTATGTCATTTTTAGATGACAGTTTCACATCGTATGAATCATATGATGACATGGATCCTGAGGAAGGAGGTGTTGAAGTCCCAGGAGCTGCTATACCACATCCAGAGATACAACTACCTAGGTGAGAGCCTCCTGTGCCAAATATGTCTTTTTGTTATAATCCTCCACTTCTGTTTCTCTTTTAAGGAAGTCCCTAAAATCTGAGCCACAATTTTGCATTTTCATACATTACCATATATGGCCTTCAAGACTCCATTGTATTTCTACTCACTTTTTGCTTTGGAGAATTGAACATGTTCAGTATCATTTAAATAAATACAAATGCTTTACAATTCAAGGGTCAGAACTAAGAAGAAGAAAAAGAGAAGTGCTGGCAAAGACACTTCCCATCATATTCCAATATCCACTTTACCCAATGTAACATACTGCAGTGACCTCTATCAAAAGGGAATGATAACATGGACAAAAAGGCAATGTGCTATCAGTGACAATAAGCTCTATGTGTATAAGATAGAGAAAGACTATAAACCATCTATGGTATTATCCCTCGTGGGCTATGATATATTGTACTTTGAGAAAGATGGAAAAAGGAATCATGCACTAAGGGTGTCCCATCCGGGTTGTGAGACACACTGGTTCGCTACCGATACAAAATCTAATGCTGACATATGGCTTGAAGTGAGTGAGAATTTATTCTTTTGTAAATATCATTTTTACCCATGCATTCTTGGTTATTAGTGAAGTATCAATATGGATACAGGGGCACAGTTTCCACCTCGACCTGGATAGGTCAATAATTGTATATTAAAGCATAGTGTGATTTTTAGCTCATTATTTTTTGTATTTCTAGTCCTTGGGAGTAAAAGTATCAATTAATGAATTCAACATTTGATGAATGAAAAAAAAGAAAAAAAATTGTCATGCAGTATTTCATGTTAAACAGTATAACACATGGTGTATTGATGTAAATGATGAAGCCTTTGCAAAACAGAAACATAACTGACTTTTCCAGCATATGACAAATGCAGCACATGTCCTTGACAATAACAGTCTAGCAGTTACACAGCCCCTCTCTGGGCCATCACTGTCATCAGAGAATATCTCAAGCCCCACAGAGCAGTCTCAGCCATCACTAGGGGGCTCCACCAGCCCTAGCCGATCCCTGACTAACATCTCTATGAGCTCCAGCCCTAGTGAAGGTGGTAGTGGGGATGGCATTGTCAAATATATGAGAAATCAACAGGGAACAGATATTAAAGGTAGGGTAACATTTGTGGATAAAATGGTTCTAAGCATTGTCTTTTATTGAGTTGATTTTTCATCACACTTTTTCAAAGTGCTACATTATATTGTCATTAGTTTGTACTGATGGGTATCTGGTCTCTGGTTGTTTGGATCTCTTGGTTGGAAGGTATAACTCTTGTCATCAAAATGCTAGGAAAACTTCTTATCCATTCAACTTGAATCTTTTACAGATGCAAGAGCAGACTAGTGTGACGATCTGATTAAGTTTTGGGCATGCTGGGTGTATTACATGGTGGCCATTTTGAATTTTTCAATAGAAAAGTGCTATATTTATCACTGTCTTTTGTAATTTATCCTCATCTGACATAAAACTTACATATAACAATACTCTATGTATGTAACAATACTTTATGTATAACAATACTGTATTATGTGTATAATAATACTTCTCCGCAGATTATGATACTAAGAGAGACTTGAAATCACCAAAAATAAAATCAGATGATAAAAGCATGACCTTGGGCCAGTCTTTAGAGACATCTATGAAGAGCATGAAGAACTTCCTGGGCACACTTGGACGGAAGAAGGGACGCAAAGCTTCAACCACTATCCAGGATGTCTTTGAAACTGTGGAGATTGACATGGAAAAGGATCCTACTGTCAAAATACAAGGTATCAGAATACTCTATTAACTTCATTCAAATTTGCAAGGATAATGAAGACTTTTTTGGTATAATATTTTTCATGCACAAAACAAAACATCATTATTAGACAGATTATATTAAAGTGTACCTCTTCATATTTTGCACTTGGAGATGTAAAATAAAGTAATGTAATTGGGTGGACAGTAAAATATTATTTTAGAAACTACTTACTACATGTACATGTATTGTGTAGGTTATCATTATCATCTATTTCAAGGTGTTTCTTTTCATATGTATGGAAAAAGTCACTTCAATGAAGAAAAATACTGCTTTGATAAACATTTTTCACAAAATGATTTGTGTGTAATTTATTCTAGGTTATTTGAATGTATCAAGTCCCCTTAGTTTTGACAAAGGTTGGTTAAGAAAATGGTGCGTGGTTTCTGATGAAAACTTTGACGTATATCGATCGCATGAAGAAAAATCAGCCAATGAGAATCCGGAGTTTAGTTTTCCTTTAGTTGGATGTGAGATCAACACTGCAATGGAGACAAAGAGAGAGCTTGCGTTTAAGCTAGAACAGGATGGATGCCTCAAGGCTGTGTTAGAGGTACGTATTTCTAATTTTACAAAATATAAACCAAAGTAGACGCATCAGAAGCTCTGCTGTGTTCAATAGACCTTTCCAATAAATCCTTACCTCTATTTGTGAACCAAGGAAACTAGGGTATATTGGCTAGATTTATGATGTCATACTTCACAGGCAGTAATGCTTGCAAACAAAATTGAAAGAAGTTTTTGAAAATTAACAAAATTTTAATTCTATTTTTGCACTGAAATTGTAAGAATGACATCATAACCAATAGATGGCATGAATTACTGGATTGGTCTATTAAATACAGAAAAGCCTGTCTAATCTGAACACCACTGGGACGTTTTGGATTAGCAGGAGTTCACATTTCAAAGTTTTTTAATATGTGAATCAGCAATAGTAATAAGTAAAGTGGGACTGAGAAAGTGTTCACATTGAGAGGTGTTTGGATTAGAGAGGTGTTCGGATATACAGGTTTTACTGCACCAATATGCAATCAGTACTGTGCTATTTTCAGCTCACATGACCAGTTGACAGTTATGCACCCTTAACTCAAACCATGTGGATTGTATGGTACTTTGTTCAATATAACCTTGCTTATTGAATCACATATTGGGATTTCTTACAATGTATAACATACTGCGTTTTCTTATTTTTGATAAAGAGGTCCACCATAGAGGAACATTTAGGAAAATAGAATGTGGAAATCAGAGATTATAAAAATCTTTATTGTGGATCAATTTTATTATCCATCTCTTAGGGAATAATAGAGGGCAGCACTGGGGATGTATGCTTCCTCACCATATTCATGTTGAGTGAGAAAGACCAGAGGGTTAAGTTAAAATATCACTACAATTTTTCACAACTACTGGCGTCATCATTTTCAGCTGCCCCGTCCTTAAGTTTGTCAAAGATCCCTTTAATTTCATCAATTTTGACTTTACGTAAAAATAGCTGTGGTTAAGATTTACAGTTACATGTATATTACCTAATTGATATTAAAAATTGTTTTTTGATTTTGGTATATTTTTTTCTATACAAAAACTAAAATCTGACCTAAAATGGGTGCTCTCTTTGACAATTTTTCCATGTTTGTTTTGCCCTTGCTGCACATACCTACCGAAAGAATTTAGAGTGAACCCCCTGGGCTCTTTTGAGTTTTGAATTTTAACTGTAGATTATCACACATGCTGTCATCTATTTATCCATCTATATAGCAAATGGTTAATTGAGTATTGAGGTTTTAGGAAATGTTGTAAAAGAACCAACTGGGATAGTTTTATATTAAGAGATCAACACCTTGAATCTCCATGTGCCTTTTTAATAGTAAAGGCTGTGTGTTTATGATAAAAATACCATCTCGTGTTTTATTAATTGAGTGGGGATGTTCATTAATTTTGATGGTCCCAACTTATTGTGTTCTATGATTCTATTCTACTCAATAGATCAGTCTTATAATAGATATTCTCATTAGTTTCTGTATTCTATGAATAAATGAATAATTGAATATTCAAGCAAGGTAGAAAATACTGACTATAACACAAGAACTTTGCAATAATATTTTTATGGTTCTCTGAGACCTTTTATTAGATCACATTAGATTTCATTGCGAATTGAAATATACTGCGTTTTTGATATATTCTTTTATTCTTTTATGGTAATGTCGAAAATATTATTGTAATTTAAATTATAAATATATACACCCTGACAAGTCAATATAGAAACTACCCTCTTTGTTTTACAAATATCAAGGAATCAATAATATGACTAACCAAGACTGAGAAATTGTTTGAAAAAGATTGATCTTTAAAATCAGTTGCATAACAGAGTACTAGTATGTTGATTTGTATTTATCCAAATCAAAGTGCGTTCCAGTGAATATGTCAGTGTTATTGCCATTGTTACAAAACGATGATAAACACATGAAATGGTCTTTTAAAAACACTACCCTGTTGATAGATAGCTCCCATATCAAAGTTTGTACATTGTAATATGATGATTGTATGAAGCAGTTCCACCAAAATCAACATGACAGAGATATGATTTGATTGTGACTCGTCACAGGGACACACAAAATTTTGACCATTGAGACAACTTTTATTTCAGATTTGTTAGATTTATTGAAAATCTAACTACAATATTGCAATGCGTAGAACTCTGAAGTGAGAGGCATCTGTCTAACATTTTCAAAGTCCTTTAAACTTAAATATCCCATTGTGATAAGTCTAATTTAAATAAAAGGCTTGGAATCTAAGTGACAAAACTCAGTCATACTTAAAATGCATTTTATGCACACAAGCAACATAACATATACATGTACATTAAAGGCAGAATCAGATCTATGTGGTTGACAAAAGTACAAGCAACATGTACAATTGACCTACCAATCTGTTCCTTACAATCTCAAATACAATATCTCCCAAAAGATTCATGATATAGTATTAATTGGTGAAGTTATGATGGATTCAAAGTGCAAAAATGGATGAAAAATGTATAAATTCTCCCAAATAATAAGAATGGTAACCATTCTAATAGAAAAATAATACATTATTGTAAAAATCTTTAGTTTTCCTGAAATGACGTGTGCACTTAGGGAGATTTTTGGAAAATAGACATGAAAAGGAATGACAGTAGCCAGAAATATTCTAAAATTGGAACAATTTTTTGTTAGGCTGCTCCCTAGATCTGATTCTCTCTTTAACTTATAATAGGTGCAGTTATACATATCTTATTGTATTGAAGACTCAGTATGGATTTATTTTCAATGAGTCATATTCAATGTAACTATTTTGACCAAGCATGAAAAAATGACATGATGGAAATGGGAATGATATATTCTTTTATTTATTTTATTCCATCCCATAGATTTGACACACCACTTCTCTTTGCATTCTTAGTCCAAGGGTATTTCAATTCTTTCCATAGCTGCTATTGCAGTGAAGCCTGAACTTAAAGGATGTTTTTGTAATCATGCAGCTAATTTCAGTTATCTATTGGCCATCCATCTCCTGTAATCATCGCATAATGTTTGACTCGAGAATTTGTGTTCTTGAATTTGTTTGGCCGGGATTAGTAAATGTCAGTATCCATATCAGTATCAGGCCCAGGAACATGTATAAATAATTGAGTCTGAGTCCCCTAAGAAAAGATCTGCTTTGACTCAGAGACTATAAGTTTGCATTAATTAGTATTATACATGTTCCTGGTCCTATTTCAGTATCAGCGGTCTCAATTAACCTGATATTATAACCATACTATAACCATGAACTCTTATGACATATCATTTATCTTAATACTAATACAGCCATTAGAGCAGCCATAATCTGTCAAAATCACTACCTCTAAGATGTACATTCATAATGCCCCGGGGGCTGCTAGAAAGTGGAATTGTGTGTATTTGTAACATCATAGCCCTTTTATTTATCACTTTTCCAATATCAATCTGGCAATTAAGTAGCTTTTTCCCACACTCATTTGAGGGAAATGACCAATCCCATTCTGGTATGCCAGAGCCCCTCTTATCTGCCGTTTGCGGAAGGAAAAAGACAAAGGGGGCGCGGCTATCAGGATGGACCAATCCATTTCTGTAAAAGGCGTACGAGCCTGAGTGAACATTCTTTTTTTGGCAAAAATGCCCAATATACACAGGTTTTACTGTTTATCCTTTGCCACTTCGAATTCCTGATTTTAACAATTTCCTGATAATGTTAATCCAATATAGGGTTGATAAAACATCAAGATTTGAAAAATACTATTTCCTCGATATCTTATGAGTCTAAGTGACCAGCGATTTTGTGTAAGTCTCAAATTGTTCATGATATCTGAATACACTGATTTTGTTTTATTAATTCATTATATAATGCAAGTTCTACTCCAGGTAGATATTATGTACAAGATCGCCTCCAAAAAGTGTTTAATCTTCACTGTCTGATGTATCACAATAAGAGTCGCACACTACTACCCTGGCCTTCTTCTCTACTTTTGTGCTCCTGCTACGGTGATGTCCGCGATTGAATTTTGCAAGCTGGACCTCATTTTCAGTGTCTATTGAATCCGTGTCAGCCATTCTGCTTCTACGGTTTTCAGTTGCCCTTAGTTTGCCCTTACTGCGTTCCCCAGTGTATTTAGCACTCCCGTTACGTTGTTTGATTTTTGAAGATTTTGTATCTTGGTCTGATTTTGTGAGATCATCTGGCTCTGATGTTGAGATGTAACCACTGGCATTACCCGGGATGGTGTTATCACTGTGTAGTCTCACACGCTGTATATCCGCCTCACCCAACTTTGGGGACTCACTGATAATATGCAGGCTACTTGTCATAGAATTTCTGGGTTGAATATTTTCCCGATCAGGAGCTATTTCATCATCAATCAAAACCTCGTCATCACTGGCACTTCCGAACATTCCTTCAATTTTGGGGGAGCTGGAAAAAAGCAACTGTGCCGCTGTGTTGCCATTCAGACGGGACTTAATGAGATCACGTGCACTTTTTGTATGCTCTTTACTTCCTGAGCGAACACGTTTTATTTTGATGTGTTTCGTTGAGTAGTCTGATACATCGTCACTTTGATCCGCATCATTCCCAGTATCAAGGTCAGATGGCGATTCAAGGTCAAGCTCGGAGTCGATGCGTTTATCCAATGATTTCATAGTCTGAGGTGTCGACCAATCATCAAAGGATTTCTTATCCACCAGTGATGCCATAATTGTGCTACTCACTTAAACCAATCTATAACAAGCACTGTATTTATATAATGTTCTGATCACTTAATAGGAACTAAAAATCCAATATGCATTTAAGAGCTCTCAATGTTTTATATTCACTGATTTCCCTCGTTGAAGTTTGTTTCAGTATATTAAAAATATTGATAACTTTTCATCAGATGCTGTGTATGTATTATCGTTGTTATCCTTAGCTTTATTCCTTTCAGCTGCAGTCAACGTCTCTCTTTCTTTTACATGTAGATTCTAATCATTCCCACAAAATGTTATATATTCATCCGTCAATTAAACATTGTGTCACAGATGTTGCAGGCCTGGATTAACACATACCAAATAACTATGTGTATTCCTGTAATAATTTGTAACACTGTCCTGATTAAGTGTGAATTCAAGGTTGCTCAGTCCTGAATCTCTTGGTACAAATAGCCTGAAATTACAGAGAAAAAATGGTAAAGATTACACTATTCGTTTTTTTAAATATATCCCACATACAAAATTAACTGCTCCCGTTGGTTGATAATAAGCACAGGCATATGTTAGACTAGTATTATTAACTTACCGCCAGGTGATAATTACAAACCGCTAAATAGATTGTTTATGCTCAAAGCATTTATACTCCAGTTAGAACCTCTCTTATCATGCAATATTTATGAAATTATCTCAACCTCTCAATATTTCAATTCATAATCACTGATGTACAGTTACAATAATTTTTAGAGCTTGCTATTAGTCCTAAATTTCCAAAATAGAAATGAATATTCTGATGTGAAGACTAAAACATGGTTAATAATATAAAGGACATAATTATATTCTGAGTTCAATTGGCTTAGATTAAAGGGTTGGGCCCTTAATACAATCCTTAAACCTTGAAACCCAGGCCTTGAAAGCAAAACATCTGAAGTTCTTTCGTGTGTTTTCATCATTTTGATACACGATGCTTATGGAGACAACTTAATATTGTAAATCTCCACTTAATCTCTCTAATCCTAATGTTGAAATATACGCAAAATAAATAGCACAGTAATAAGAAAATCAATACAAGAGAGATGAACTGTTTGTTCTCTAGAAGGTTTTCAACTTGAGTCGTATCTGTGACACTGTCCTTTAATATAACCATCAACTTGGAACAATTCTCATCTGATTGGCTTCAATATTGACATATGACATACATGTACTGCATTTGTATCTGGAATCAATTTTACTGTATGCCTTATTTTGACACTTAAGACAAACTTAGTGATTTTGAGTGTAACAGTCCTGACGAATTAAATCAAGTAAAGTTTGCTTCAAATACTGTCTGGATTAAGTACCACTTCTACAATGTATAGTTATTTATATTACAAGTTTGATGTTAAACCATTTTTATTATGTCACCATCAGAATTGGTGAAATATTGTTATTTTTTGTGGACAGTGTTTGGTGGGATATGTTCTGTGGTCGAAGTTCGGGTTCGGCATCTGTAACAAATTCTTACAAACATTTCTTGTGAAAGGCATGTGATTAAATCTATCCAATCAGGTTTGGCAAGAAAATAAATTGTTTTTAGGCTAGCAATATACATACTGTCAATAACACGTCCATTTAATGTGACGGGATTTAGAGGTACAGCTTTGTTTTTCATTGGTTGAGAGGGACACACCTTAATTAATGCAACATTTGGAGATATCCCAAATGGTCGAAAGAATGATCAATTTACTTTTAAATTCCCCGTAGCCATGATATTTGTGTAGGATGACAAATGTAATAGAATTGTCATCCGGAAGTTGGCCGTTAGTTATGGATAATTCTATCATGTTTGATTTATGAGGAATTTGTTGTTAACGTTTCCTAAGAAAGGGAATGTCCAGCTTCATATGAACAATAGAATGTTAAGTATATGACACCTGGTTAATGACTATGTTATAGCAAAGAACCAGCCTTTTAGATTAGCAAAATCAATGATAGTGTAATGTATATTTGTAAAATTGGGAGCTTATTGAAGACAAAATTAATGCCATCCTCTGTATTTCTATAATCCCTTACTAGACTACCATTTCTATAAATTGCTCATTTGGGTACACATTACTAATACAGTGTAATCTAAAGTCCAAAGAAAATAATTCAACTTTAGTGTAATAAAACAGTATACTCTGCAACAATAACTTCCCTCTTGGTTATTCAAAGCTAGTTTTGATTCAAATAATTTAATATTATGTTTATGAGTGTAGTATTTCACACCAACATGTGCCTCTATGACCACATAACAAATACCTAAATCATGGCATTTTAATGGTTAGAGAGTTTAAATTTGAAATAAATGACAGCTGACAATGATACATGTAGAAAATTGAGCCTCAAATTGTTACCTTTTCAAAAAAGAATGGATGCCACAAATTAACCAAGTTGGTTAATTTTTTTACATGATAGAGAGGCATGGGTTAGTTAATTAAAGGTTGAAAAAAATAAATTATAATATTAGTTCTACAACTTTCATTTGAAGATATCAATTTATGTGTACAATTATTAATATCTAAATGAAAGTGGGTCAAGCAATTTATATTTTGAATATTATGAGTTGATATTATAAAAGCAGCCTACAATAAGACAGACTGTCCAAAAGTAGATCTTAGATACAAGGTAGGTCAAATGAACTTTTGATTGTAAAATGGCAAAATCCACAAAGTACTACATTCCTCAGACATAAGTTTATTGGTCCATGGTATTCATCCAGATTTGAATAATCAGATGTTTTTTATTTTAGATTTAGAAAGGCATCTGATTTCATAAACTAAATATCACATCACCTGGCATGTTATATAACATTCTACAAGTCCTCAGCAATTCTACAATTTATTCCACTAGGAAAAAGCAGTGTGCAATCAAGGGTAATGAGATGATTTGATTTAGAAACAATGTAAAATCATCTTACTCAAGGGGCGAGGAGGAAAATTCTCAATAAATGGTGTATAGTTGGTTTGGCAGTATTTTCAGTTAGGGGAGAGTCTTGGATGAAATTTCCACCTAGGTGATAGCTTCGCAGAGTGGTAGGAAGTTCTTTTTTTTGAGGAGTTAGCCCCCCACCCCCAAAAAACACCCCACCCTGGGGAAAAAATTGTTCACACTAAATAACCTTAGATATTTTGATGTTTGTAAGTGACATACATAGATATTATATATATGAATAATTTGCAGTATTATTGATACTGATGACTCCTAAGGAATTTGAATATCAGTACAAAGTGTGTACCCCAGGGGGCAAATTCGTGACTCATTTTCTTACTGTTTTGATTCTAACTTTTCAATTAGACACTGTAAGAGGTTGAAAAAATTCATGTGAAGTGCCCAATAGCAGGGTTAGTAACCCTGAAAGATGCAAAGCCATGGAAGAAGTAGGAGCTGAGAAAAGAATTGTTGATTTTTCGAAAAATTTGACATTTTTGACAACTGGATTTTGTGTATGACTATAGCTGACCCCTATAGTTTCTAGATCCATCCCTCTATGATGATATTTATGGTTTTATAGTGTGGAACTAAGATGTAAAACATAATTTAGATGTGTTTTAAGGAAGTTAAAGGTTTTAAACAAGTCCAAAATTTGAAAAATTGTAAATATAAGGTTTCAAATTTATGAATTCCAGGTATAGCCATGGCTGACCCCTATAGTTTCTAGATCCATCCATCTTTGATGATATTTATGCTTTCATAGTGTGAAACTAAGATGTAAAACATAAATTAGATGGGTTTTAAGAAAGTTATAGGTTTTAAACAAGTCCAAAATTCGAAAAATTGTAAATGTAAGGTTTCAAATTTACGAATTCCAGCTATAGCCATGGCTGACCCCTATAGTTTCTAGATCCATCCCTCTTTGATGATATTTATGGTTTTGTAGTATGGAACTAAAGATGTAAAACATAATTTAGATGGGTTTTAAGGAAATTAATGATTTAAAACAAGTCCAAAATTTGAAAAATTGTAAATATAAGGTTTCAAATTTACGAATTTTAGGTATAGCCATGGATGACCCTTATGGCTTTTTCATCAATACTTCTATGATGAAACATATACTTTTAGAGTGTGAAACTAAGATGTAAAACATACCGAAGATGAATTTTAAGGAAGTTTAAGAATTTTAACAAGTGCAATATTTGAAAAATTGAGAAATATCAGGTCTCAAAGGAGCACGGAAAGTATCGCAACAGATTTCAGACAGTCATATGTTGGATTTTGTCTGTTTTCTGAGGATTTAAGCAGGTGCATATGATAGACCATTGCATTACCTACAGGAAAAGAACTCTTAGAGATGATAAAATAGTTTAGAATTTGAGACAGCGAAGGTGAAAACATTCAACCCACATGTTTTTGGGGAAATGTCGTCCTGATTTTCAACCCCGTTCACCCCTGGTTTTTCAATTTTTGTTGCATCAATATGTTGCCTTTTGAGACATAGTTAACCATTAAAAGGATAAATTTCTTTTAGATAAAGCGGAAAACAATATTTTCCTGTTATTTTCCCATAGGGAAAACTCATGTGATCCATTGCTTTCAGCTTAATTTTGGTCACCCATATTTGATATCTTTAAAATCCCTGATGGAATGTATTTTTCATTTAAAGGGGTTAACTGTATGTAAAAACACATATATTTATACATATACACATATATATTTATGCATGTGGATGGGTTGTTTGCACCTTCCCTGTCTCAAAATAGAAATTATTTTATCATCTCTATGGGTGCTTTTCCTGGAGGAAATGCATTGGCCTAACATGCAACATGAAATATGCACCTCCTCAAACCCTCAGAAATTAGCCAAAATCCAACATATGATTGCTGAAATCTGTTGCGATACTTTCAGTCCTCCTTTACGATTTCAGGTATAGCCCTGGATCTCTTTTTGAATGTATGACTTAGCTTAGAAATTAGATGTTGAAAATATTGTGGTCAGGTTTGATCCATGTTACATGTATTGTTAAAAGAAAAAATCATTAGAGTTGAGGAATTAAACTTTGAATTCCTAAGGGGGTGAGAGGTTAATAAATCCCCCAGTAAGTGTAACTGCTCCTAGGGATATCGTATACAGTGTAGTTATTGATTGATTAAATGCATGGATTATAACTAATTAATTATTATTTGATGATATTTATTATGTGATATAGCATTTTTACTTTTTCACATCAACATGTCCGATGTAATGTTCTGCATTATCAAAATACATAAAGACATGGTTAATTAAAAGAAACATGTTTTCTCTATATTTTGTTATGCCCCTTCTGTAATTAAGCAATGATCATCTCCTAATACAAAATGTTGTTATGAATTATCAAATTATAATCACTACACTCCCAATAAAACAATTTGTCATCAGGCAACGGTAATTATTTGGGAAAATAAGGATTATAAGGATCATACCCCCCCCCCCCCCCCCCCCGGGCCTAGAAACTTCCGTTAG